TTGGCAACAATTCTGCTACAGCTTTTACAAATTACCTGGTTTTGTTTGGTGTCTGTGACTTTAAAACCAAAATATTTCCATGTTACTGACGTGCTGTTTTTCTTTGATATTAAATTGTCTATTAATGCTTCTGAAGTGGCAGATGCCATCATCCCAGTCGTTTGCGCTTTCCTGTTTGTTTGTTTTTTTTATTGTGGGCGTTCTGCATAGTTAGATTGTGCAATTCTGATTGGGCGAAACAAAAGTGTGCTCACTCAATTGGCGAGTAAGACTGTCACACATTTGCTCTGGGTGGGGGAAGTTAAATGTATATTTCATATCGCAGCCTCTTGCGATTCAATTTCGATTAAGCACACAGCCCTATCTTCCAGTCACACTAGTATAGTTAATCAATACTAATATAGAAATGACTCTAATTTCAGTTTAGACTTTCATAGTCATGACTCATTTAAGGAATTTTGAAAAATTGTGTATAGAAAATGAATTCAAATAAATTTAATGTAAATAAATATTTGTTTCTGGCTGTTTTGCTTTAGCGAGCCATGTATTATAATAAAGTTGCCATTGAGGGAACTTGCTTTTCATAAGCTGCGTCCCATATTTGTCTTGTTTGCCCAGTTAGCGCGGTTTGTTTGGCATATGTGAATCCAGCAATCGCGCTCCGATCCGCACCAAAACAATCGCTTCAAAAACGCCTTAATTAGTTAGTCTCGGCTCGATTGAAACGAACTCTGGTAGCAGATCGATTGTAGTGAGAAAGCGATACGATCCTAGCCCGGCTATATCACAGTGTATTATGGATATGTAATAGACATGGCTATATGAAGAGAGAATTATGAGTAGGGCGGGATGTCATTCCTACCGGTTATTGTGCGTTTCATGTAAAAATACGAAAGCATGCTGAACTATGACCGATAGCGGTTTATCAGTAAGGAAATTTGCAGTAGTTTTTCTGTTATTTCTCTCTATAATGTAAAGCCTATAATGCATTAGCCAACTGCTAGCCTATGTTTGAGAAAGTCTTACTTCTGCTCTATATTTAGTGATGACGTTGGGGGGTGTCACCATTCAAAATGAAAGCACAGCTTTTTGCTTATAATGTCTTTTTGCTCATCGTCACAAATTAAAATAAGGACACATGACCGCTGAGCGGGACTTTGCAAAATAAACCCTTAAACTCTGACCAATGTGAGGTGAGTTTACTCGTACGTGACTCGTTTTAGCTATTTTGGTCCATTCAGAAACTTTGCCGTGTGAAAGTGAACCGCACCAAAAACAAAGAGCAACATTGTTCTGAAACTAGTATTATAGTTTCTTACAAATTAATTGATTCACGGGTGTAAAAGCACCCTCAATCTCCCTAAACATCCGGGATACGGGTTTTACTTTCGCTTTTCTGAAGTAGCCATTATTTGTATGCATTTTTGCATTACCTTTTCACAGCTTACTGCGTCAGCCGCAAGAGAAACATTAAATTATTAATCATTTAATAAACAACTCTATATATTAATGAACTTTACTACATACTCTGAGAGAACAAAATATACTGGCTGCAAAATATTTGTACACCATTAGAATTGGCTAATCAACTAATCTGCCTTTTTATTCTAGTTATTGCATAATTTTTTAGCAAAAACGGCTATTTTTATTACATTTTTCTGTTATTGATTTCTCATTTGCTGTACAATTCATTAATTTAATGATGTTATTATGTTAAATACTTTATCTAAAATGCTTTGGAAATACTGTAAATGTCATGCCAATAAAGCAACTTTAAATAGAGAGAGAAAAAGAGCAGCCTTTGCCTCTCAGTGGGTGAACATGACCCCTAAATAACATAAGTACGAAGTAGTGGATTTCTTTTATTTTAACAGCCTTTTTTCAATAATTTGAATCCATTGAAAAAAAAGGTGTACAACAGTGTCATAATAGGTAAAAATATAGTTTTGTTTGTGGATGTACAGTTGACAATTTATGTGCTGTGTGTAAAAGATATGTTTCAATCCGGCTACCATTGAAAGTATATTTCAAATTTGTGGGAAGCACTGAATGAATGAATGAATGAATGAATGAATGAATGAATGAATGAATGAATTTTTTCCTCACTAAAAATGTGCTATACAAAACCTGAAACTGCAATTCAAGAAGACCCTTTCAAGTGTACATATTCTTGGTAGTTTCAAATAACAATAACAACATTTTACATCTCATTTCACTTTTCTCAGCACGTAACAATGCTCATATTTCACATCACCTCTAATAAAGTATTTTATTTTTTTTCTAAAACGATGCAGATGGTCTGGGTGACCTTATTCTCAGGACGCTTGTCTCCTTTTTCACATTCCCTTCTGCCTGCACAACTGCCTGATGGCTTTTGCAGCTCATTTAATTACATATTCTAGCTTTTAAGGGGCAAATATGATGGATTGAGTGTTGGTCAGGAGAAATCATAAGCAGAGCTCCAGAGACATTTAATCTGTGCAGTGTAGAGCAAACACATTTTAAGGGTGTTACTGTGTGCATTTGACTTGGCAGACTGAAGTATGTAAATGCTACAAGTCAGGTCTGTTTATAATTTGCTTTGATGGGAATTGTTGATGTTAATGGCCTTGTTGAACTTGAGAGTTCAGCTTCATTGGTTTGATTTCGTTTGTTTTTTTTTTGAGTCCCTTGTGTGAAACTTTATTTTTTAAGTCATAACAGTCCTATTTACCCTTGAAATGTTGTCTAGCTTACTGTTACTCAAGTCATTCTCTATCAACGGTTTTCTTTAGCTAACTTACAACAAAGCGCATAGATTCACTTGGAGGTGACACTCTGGTGTTATTTGGGAAACAGCCACTAGATGGTGAGGCGGCTATTTTGGAATATAAAAATCAAATAGAACAACAGCATATAATTTACTGAAAATGAGTAAACCCATTGCTTTTAAATTGATTTTTTTTATTTTACTTTAAAAACTAAGTAAACTCATTTACTTAAAGGGCATCTATGATGAAAATCGTCCTTTGTAAGCTGTTTGGACAGAAATGTGTGTAGATGTAGTGTGTCCATAGTCATATTGGAGTGATGGAAACACAAAGTCAATTTTTTTATTTTCCTGACGTTTAAATAGGATCCAAATTCCCCCATTTTGAGGCCCACCTCAACGTGATGTAGGATTGAAAGCACCGTATTAACGCGTAGTAATGCATATAATCATATCAACAAGACGGGACGTGTGCAAAGCAACTGGGATTAAAGATCTGTTCAGCTCTCTGTGATCATCAATCATCATCAAATCTGATCACCAATGAGTTTTACAAGTTTAAAACGTTTTTAAAACAGTGCATGTTTGTAATGAATTGCACCAATTTTACTTTCACAATTATAAAAGAAGATGCTTCAATCCCAGTTTGTGGATGTCAGTCAGGTTTATTTTATACATTAACATAACGGAAATCCATACAACGGTGGGTATCAATTTGTATCCTGTCACATTTGTGTGCAAAAACAGTGCAAAGTTAAATGCGCGTGCTGTGTGTGCGTGTCCGCTGTGTATATGCGTAAACTTTGTAAAGACATTGTGTGTGTGACTCATTGTTGCAGTAAGGCTTGGAAAAACTCTACAACAAATGCATTAAATAATAATTGGGAAAGTTCTTACTGTCGTTTTCTCAATGTTACGTGAGATCTGCTTTCTTCATGTCTGTCACTGTGCTGTTTATCTGATGCAGCTGAGGCGGAAACTGAGTAGAAAATTGCAATATTCTGAAAGCTTTAATAAATAATCAGATGGGTGTTTTGAGCTGAAACTTTAGACACATTCTGGAGACACAAAGGACTTATCTTAAATCTTAATAAAGGGCTAAAATAGGTGCCCTTTAAATTTTATCAAATATATGTATTATGTTCATAATTCCAAAAATTAAGTCATCTAAATAGTTCCAAGCTATAACAAGTTTAATCACTTTCTTTAAGTAAAATCAACTTGTCATTTTAAAGGCAACAGGTTTACACAGAATCTGCAACGTTAAATTGGGATTATAGATGACCAGAAGCCATAGACATTGAAGATTTTTATAACTGAGAAAAGGTTTAATATTTACATGTTTTTAAGGCTTGTGACTGTATTAGCTTTTCGAGGGAGTTAAAATCACATTCTGGCACAAGAAATTGTACCATTTGTGACTTTAATAAAATTTATTTTATTGAATCATTTTTACAACGAATACGATGCAGTGCTATTTTTACTTATGATTATTCATTTTCTCTACCTGTTTTCTTTCCAAATAGAGCTCTTTAAGTCACTGGGTGAAGTTTTATTTGTATACCTAAAATCAAAACATAATTTTTTTATTTCTCCAATATTGTACAGCCCTACTTCCTATGGACATTCAACAGGCAATTAGGTGAACAAGTTTTATGTTTCTTCTCTGTCTTTGATCATCATCAAGTCCACACACCTCTCTAATTTAATGACTCTTCATATTGTTACCAAACAGACAGGAATGTTGTTGTTTTTTCTCCCTTTCCCTCTCTTTCCTTGAATCCTTCCAAGAGGTTGAATGCTTCCAGAGTTTTACAACAAGCCCTACATAGTCATTTGGAAAACATCCTGCCAGAAAGCAGTCAATAATGAAGCTGCCTTTGTTCCTGTGCCAGCAGCAGTGCTGATCTGGTTTTACGTGCACATGAAGGACAAAGCCGTGAAGCTCAAACATTGTAATCTTGTCTTTCGAACAGATACATGGAGCTCACTGTCAATTGCTGTTAATGTGTAATGGCCACTGATGTGTCGTGATTTACAAGTTTTTGTTATCGCAAGAGTTGACTTTGCAATTGTTTACAGTGTAATTACCATATTTTTTCCTGTAGGCAGTGCATTTTTTTATTATAAAACATATATTTATTTATTTATTTTAATAATTATTTTTGTTTTAGTTTATTTTTTTAACCGTTTTAATCTCTGTGAAATTTCATTGATTTATTTTTTTTTATCTCTCTGTTTATTTTTTTAGCACGGACAGGGGAGCTGATGGGAGAGTTTGGCCGGCTCTATGAACGGCAGTATGCAGTTGCTCTCTTCAATCAGATGCGTTATGATGTCGAGGGTGGAGGAGGTCCTCAGCCTCAGCTGCTGCACAGGAAGGTACAGATCTAGTTGTAGTTTATTCATATAGCACATTTTTACAACACATTGTTGCTCCCATTGCTGAAGACAATCAGTAATAATTAAAATAACACAACCCGTCAACATTTAAAAAACTCAAATCCTAAGGACAGATTTTATTTCAGAAGGTTTTTAAAAACAAGTATGGTTGGAGTGTCTAGTGTGAGGTTGAGACTTGTGAAACAGTGAAAGCCTGATCTCCTCTTCTCTTACACCGGGTGTTTGGTACAGACGGAGAACACTGATCTAATGGCCTACTGAGACTCTGAGTGTCTGTGGGGTCTTAAAATGTCTAAAATTTAAAAAAAAAACTAAATATTAGGCCTTAATGTCTTAAATTCACTGAAATTTTGTCCTGTAGGACTTAAATCAGTTTAATCAGGTCTTAATTTCCAGTCAGGCCAACACTCATCCAATTTACATATTAATAAAACCTTTAAAGGGTCATGACACCCCCACTTTCAGTTCAGGTCCACCTCAGAATTTTTTTCAAAAGATGCATCATAGTGGGCGTGAAGCTCCGCGAGCAAAGGCCAGGAGTGGGCATGGCCAGCAGGGCAGGGGAGAAGGAGGGGAGCGAGCAACTGTTGTCAGTCGGTTCACAAAATGAGACACAAACCAAGCGGAGACCCTTGATTTTATAGTTTACAAAGTTAAACTGCAAGAAATAAACAGCAATTTAATCCCATGCTAAATTTGGATTTTCATATAGCTACACCTAACCACAATTTATATAATTAAAAAGATAATAGTGTTCAAATAAACACTAAATTAGGACTTTTCCCTCAAATCTCGGGTCTGAATGCAGACTCAGTGCAGCAGGTCTCTGCCCTGTCTATTTTAACCATTAGCCCTGCTGGTAATCTTGAGGATTTAGGCGAACACAGCAGCATGGCGATGTGTCTAAATGTGAACAAACTCCTGATAAAAGACAACGTCCGCCATTCTCTAATACTCGTACTGCTCTCCTGACAAAAATGCTTGCAGCACACACACAACTTTGCTGTATTGGGCCTGACAGGATCGCAGGGAAAAACATGCAACAAACCCCGTGGATCAATGAAACAAAGACATACGACCCTTCATGAACGACTAAATATTGTGTGCCATGGGTCTGCAGACGCGTCTCACCCAGTCATCAACGTAGGATTTCGCAGCTGAGCTTGGCAGTGGCAGCCAGGTCTGCTTTGTCTTCGGAAAGCACGTGCAGTCATGAATAATTAAGAAGCCGGCTCTTCTCATAGGATAAGAAAACTCTGCTATGAATAATAATGAGAAACCGACGCGTCATCTTTGCACTTGCAGTTCTGTGCTTTGTCGCAGATTTTGATCCCGCCTCAAAAATCATTTTAAACCCAGAAGCTGAAATTAGCTGACAAAAGCTCAAAATTATCCAGTTTTTCCCACAATTTAAGCTGACAGGTGCTGCTAACATTGTCCTAACTGAAGCTCAACACACACAAATCTGTTAAAATCTCAAAAAAAGTACTCTGGTTTTGTGTACCTTTAACAAAGTAAAATTCATTAACTCAATTTTTTAAGTTTATCTATAAGACCAGAGTTTGCTTGTTTTGACACATTATTTGTGTCTAAGAAATAACAAAATTAGATTTTTTGGATAGGACCTATAAACATCTTTTCCACTGAATGTTAGAAAAAAAGTTTAACCCTGTATAAGTCTGAAATTGTATTCATAATGGTCTTGAAAATGTCTTAAAGTCTTAAATCTGACTTGGTGTGACCTGCAGAAACCCTGGGGACTGTATATGTGTTGAAGATCTGATAAATAAGGAGGTTTCAGACCAGATATACCTCTTTCTATTCCTCTTTTTCACTCTGTTTGCAAAAGAAGTTCATTCAGGGTGATTTCTCACAGGCCTGGAGTGTTGTAATGGCAAACAGCAGAGGAGAATGGATGATAATGGCTTTGTTTGAGTAAATGTCGACTTGTTTTATATTTGAAATGTGTAGAATTATCACAGTGTGAACCTTGAAGATGAGCCTTTTTTTCGCATGTATCAGACAGACGCACTGGATGGGCAATGTAAACAACAATTAAATCCTTCTGGTCTTAACATCTATTTACATAATGTATAATTAGGTCCTCTCTGAAAATGGATGGACAATTGTGTCTTTCTCTGCAAAAATAGGGTTGTGTTTAAACCATGTTTCTTTTTTTCTTCTAGGTGCCTCTTAAGAACAAGTCCATCTTCTCAGGAGCTTTATTTCAGTATCTAGAAGAGAATAAAAAGTGGAGGAATCGTTTTCTCTTTATTCCTGACTCCTACAACATCAACTATTATGAAAACAAACAGGTAATGAGTTCATATAAATGAAGTAAATCTCTTTTCGGCTTTGTCATATCACTTTTTTGAATAATGTATTGCTTTTTGTTTCCATTCCTTTGAACTTGCACAGGACTGAGGTCATCATTTTAAATAGAATTAATGCATTAATATTTTCTTTTGTAAAAAAAAAAAATGTAAATAAAAAATTAATTCAAAGTACACTGTGAAAATTTTTGGGGTTCCAATCAATCGATTTGGTTTGAGGCAAAATAAAGGAATTAGGTTGGCTCATTAGTTTTAATAAATTTAAGCGAATTAAACATAACAATTAAGTTGTCTCAATAAGTGTCAAATAAATGTAATAATAATTAAGTGTCAAATTATTTAAAAAAAAATAGTTATTTATAAACAAAAATAATTTGTTTTTAGAACAAACAACAAATGCCTTTTTTTATGCAAATCAATCATTTCTGTTCTGTCATAACACTTGTGTTTTAAATGTAGGCCCATGAGCGAGGGCTGCATCCAAAAGGCAGCATTAACTGTGCTGGTTACAGAGTCCTGACCTCTATGGAAGAATATTTGGAGCTCCTAAACACCAGCCTGCCAGGTCAGTCTGAAGGGGTGAGAAAAGGAGAAGGGGAGAGAGAGATATGGGAAGACATCAGGGATGAAATGAGGTTCTAAAATTTACAAGTTTTTTTTTTTTTTTTTTTTGAGGTGAACAATTAATCCATCCAAGTTAATCCACTAAAAACAAGACTTCTTGTAATGTTTAATTCAAATCTAACTGTTTTTTCTGCACTGGAACTGCAGTCTTTCTCTGAGGATGTAGGTTTGAAGGCGTTTGCTAATTGTGCTTAGCTTAGCCCCTCCAGCTGTTAGTTTAAGATAGAAATATGTCATCATTCTGAAATAAAAGTCTTAAGTAACTTCTGGTTCACACAGATTTTAAAGGAGAATTAGGCTCTATAAATCTGTATGAAAGTTGGCGGCTTACCGGTTTTACTAGAGTCACGTTGTCATGACAATGAAGTTGAAAGATTAGATAACTGCACATAGACAAGGTCAGTAAGCAATTGTCTCACACAAGACTCATGTTAACATGCAATGCAAGGCTGTGACATTTAAAACCTCCTGTTTACTTGGCCCTGTGTGCTTTCACTTTAGGAAGGGACGCTGCAGGCAAAAACATTTTTATATTTCCAATGCTCTTGCCAATTTTGATCTCTTTGACTTTTCAGTAAGTGTTTTTTCAAGCCAATTTAAAGAAAGCATTCAAAATACATGGTATCAGATTGTAGATTGTAGATTTAAATTAAATCTATATATTGAAATTTTTCTGTTTTCTCCTGCACTCAGCCCTAAATCTCAACTTTAGCAGCACTAACACCAAACTCCATTCATTCATTTTAATTTCGGCTTAGTCCCTTTGTTAATCTAGGGTCACCACAGAGGAATGAACCGCCAACTTATCCAGCAAATGCTTTATGCAGCGGATACCCTTCCATCTGCAACCCATCACTGGGAAACTAACACCACCAAACTACATTTTTATTTGTATCTGTTCCAAAGGGAAATGTTCATTCATAATTTGCTGCCCTTTTTAACATAAAAAAAAATTGTGCAAATATATTTCATGTTGCCCTATTATGTTTTTTTTTTTTTGAAAATGACTTTCCATGCAGTGTGCAACACAACTCTAAGTGAATGAAAACATTCAGCTGATGTTTAAATCTGAAAGTGCACCTTGTTTAAATTTTTTTTTTTTTATAAAATATTTTATTCGGAGTAGTTTAGATGATTTATGGTTGGTCCGAATCATTTGTCTTTTCATATCAACATTGAAATGAAACTATACCAAATATGAAGATCTGGTAAAACGTGAACGAGCCTTTCCTTTTAAATGCTAACAAAGTGCTGGGTGTGTGGGACCGATCATGACTGATGATGAGTGAACATTAATGAGTGAACACTCTGGTGATTAATGCAATAGTCTACATTGATTTGCCGGCTGTTTGTTTAAGGAAGGATCAGAAAATACTTTTAATGTATTGGACTTTATCAGTACACCGTTCATGGATCAGTTTCTTCATCCATTTCACAAGTGTAAGTGCCATTTAAAATGGTTGCTGCATTGTTTTTTTGTAGCATGCAAAATATGTATTTAATTGTTTTGTTACTTGTAACCGTTCCACACTGCTTGTACTGTTTCTGTTTAACTTTTTATATTAACATATTGCGTCCAAAACCACGTAAAAACGTGACGCTTGACGCTTTGTTTACGGATTTAATTGCGTTTTTGAGCTCGCAGTCCTCTGCCATTTGTCAATGTTCCTACACATAGGCGGAGGTCAAGTTTCACAATACTTTAGCTTTTGCCACTTTGTGGATTTATACTGAATGTGTGTCGTTGTTTTTACTTATGATTAAGAGTAGAAAAATATGCTGGTGTTTAACTGCATTTCTTTAATGCACTCCTGCATTGGGCTCACACATACACCCTCCACTCTGACTACTTCAACAATGTTGATAAACTGTGGGGGGCATTTCTCTCTGTCTCGCACTGAACGCAGTCAATCAATCGCAGTCGACCAATCAGCGCAAATTAGCATCGTGCTAAGGAGGGGTTTGGAAACGAATGAATCGCTGAACAAATCATATAGGAGCCGTTGGGATAATTAGGTAAAAAATAAATGCATATTATAGGACAATAACCAGCCTGTTGCTGGAGACCCCCAAAACCAAAATATGACCTTTTTTAATGCATAATTGGGGCTCTATAAATAAATTAAACTCCCATTTCTGGATAACAGTGGATGAATTATGTAAATTGGCACATATTTAATAAATGTATCAATTGCATATTTCAACCGTGTTTATGAAAACTTTATGAAAAAAATGAAGATACATAAAATGTTTTTCATTATTAACTTCAGCTGTGTATTTTCTTTCCGATTAACCTGCAGTGTCTTGCTTTAAATGAATGCATAAAGTTGAGTGAGTGTCTAGATAAGCAGTGAGGGAAGGGAGTGTACAGAAGCTGACTGTGATCTTTGTATGTTGTGCAGCTGTGCTCAATGACTATGGAGATCTCCTCATCAGGCCATACGTAAAAGCATTAAATCATACCACATGCATTTTCCAGGTGTGAAGGCTAAAGTTGGCAGTTCTCCATTCCTGAAATGTGCGACTCAGTTCCCACTCATCCTCTGGCACCCTTATGCTCGTCATTATTATTTCTGTGTGGTGACCGAAAAGGAGCAGCAGAAGTGGAGCGCTGTCTTTCAAGACTGTGTCCGGCACACAAACAATGGTGAGTCTTAAAAAAACACACACACACACACGCACAAAGTTTTAAGCTCAAAACATCGTTTTAACACCCATACTGTAAGGCTGCATGATATAAAGGAATAAATCTGATATACTGGTTTGGCTTAGTGCAGTTTTCACACTGTGCAAGCAATTTAAATAATAAAATTCCTTGTTGCCAGTTTCAGACTGCATGTTTAAATGTAAACCAGCATCTCTCTCTGAAATTAAAAATATATAAATAAGTGGTTTAGACCTTCTAATACTGGCAATCCCTGTTTTATTTCCTTTTTTTTCTTTCTTAAAGTTGTTTTTAATGCTAAATTAACTCCCCAACTGACTAATTCTTCCCAAATATAGTAGTTCAATTTATCAAATGAAAAATCCTGTATTTGTTATGAATTTAATTTAATCTAAAAGTCTTTTTTTTAATTTTATAAAAAAATTTAATTGAATTAAATGTATTTTAATTTAATTTTTATTTAAAATTAAATATATTTTAATTTAATTTTAAATTAAAATTTTATTAAATTTTTGTTCTAAATTAAATTAAAATTTAATTGAATTGTTTATTTTATTTGCCAAACATGTATTGCAGAAATTCAGCATAAAATATTTGTAAAAGTTTGTTGGTCTTTCTCTATATTATGCAGCCTTACTACATACAGTACATATTCAATGTATGACTCATTACTTGAGGTAACTGGCTTTCATTACTCTTATTGTCGCTGTATTGTTTATCAGAATAGGCCGCTTTCAGACTCACTAGTTTAACTGATGTGTTATTTCATAAATCAAGCTTTTTAGACAGCCCTCTATCAAAAAGGAAACTCGAGTGGAACGTTTGGCACGGTTGAAGGTGCTAATTTGGCCTGCTTGATAATAGAAAGAATTCCACCGCTCAAGGCTGTAAAAAGAGTCAGATGAGATCATAGAAAAGCTGGAGATGTGCTTTCATCTTTCAGGGCCCGTGCTGGAGTCTATGACTGTTTATACTGTACAGCAGCTTTAACTTTTATAGCATTAGCAGATATTATAGCATTTCACAGTAAAATATATAAATAAGCTGTAATTTAGGCAGACTGTTTATTAGTCAATTCTCAGACTAGAAGTGCAAAAATCTGTTATGTTTTCAATATAGCAACAATTTTGCCTTGGGCTACCAGAGGGTTCATTGTAACTGAGTTTCACGCTTTCACACTGATGTCACTGTTAGATTGCTTGATATGCTGTTTGTCAGGCCACTCAAACAAGAGCACACTTGTCTATTTGAAGGATATGATATGATTGTCACAATCTATTGTGGTTATAGCACCTGCTTGGTGGGAACTTGGTATAGTTCTGCTTGATATTATCAATGGTCTTAAATATTGCTAATATTATCACTATAATAGACAGGTGTGATGGCCAGAAATTCCTCATAAAAAGACCATGACTATGTTTCAACTATTGCGGGATGGCATATTGGTAGTAATTTAGATTAACCAGCTACTGTTATTGAGCTAAAAAAAAACACCTTAGCAATACATTTAGCACAAGCCCTCCTTCCAATAAAACTTGACTAGAAAGTTTATTTGGTTTTTAATCAGGATAATGGGATAGTTCACACTAAAGTTAAAACTTGCCTTTATTTTAGCAAGACTTTAGCATTTCTACAAAAACGGATATATTCACAAAACGTGTAACGTATTACTTGCACTCTTTTCTTCAGCTTTCATTAGATGATCCCTCTAACATGCATTATACAAAAAAAAAAACAATGCACAAAAATTAACCAAACAACTGGTAAAAAATGCTAAAAAAGAACATGCTAATATACATTGTTGATAGCAAAAATAAAAAGCAAAAAAAAGTTATATAAATATTATATTACTGGATGTGATGCCTTGCTACTCTTAAAGTGTTTTTCACTGTTTTCAGTGTACATAAGCTGTTCATTCATTCACTCATTTTATTTTTAGCTCAGTCCCTTTATTAATCTGGGGTTGCACAGTGGAATGAACAGCTGATTTATCCAGCATATGTTTTACGCAGCGGATGCACCTCCCAAGCTGCAACCAATCACTGGAAAACAACCATACACACTCATTCAAACACATACACTACGGACAATTTAGCTTACCAAATTAACCCAAACCACATGTCTATGGACTTGTGGGGGAAACCGGAGCACATATACTGTACAGTACATTGTAATGTGTGCCGCAGGTTTTACTTCTACAAACTATACATTTTTAGATTACCAGTAAAAATAAGATCTTTATGAATGTAATCATTCATTTTTCGATCGACTTAAGGCTAGTTTAGATTTCTGTGTGGAGTGATCGGCATGACCCACTGTGCCTGTCTTGTGCATAGTCGTGCATTTATACTTCTTTGTGCTGTTTGTGTTGCTCTGCAATGACACACTAGCTGCCAGTAGGTTTTGATGTTCCTCTGTGTTGAGTTATTTTGAGTTTTTTTTTTCCTTGAATGCTACCTTAATAAATAAATAATGCAACAAAAAGTAGCACATTTTTGTGATCCTGCAAAATTCTTAATTAAACGCAAAATAATTGCATAAAAATTTATTTAATCTCATAAAACATCCAATTCCAAACCATATAATAAAATTAGATTCATTTCAGTTTATAATCTATTATTTTACGTGACTTTTAGACGTTGCATACGCAGCACGTGATGTATTTGAATGTCTCTTGAAAAATGACGTCTCACCTGTGCCTTCACAATCATTACATTTACATGGAATGGGGTGCGGGAAGGTTTTCCCCTTGTGCAGCAAGCAGATGCATATGAAACGTGAGTGATTTACATGAAATCATAGCAAAGATGAGATATAGACATTCTGTGGTGCGAATTGGGTGTTCTAGGGGGTCTGCTTAATGTACAAGTAGCTAAAACTTGCTCATTCAGAGGTAGGAACTGGCTGACGTGCTACAACTTTAATCATAAGGTAAACCCAAAACAAAAGTTTTCATCTGGAGCTACTTCACAGGACTCGACACATGTAAACACTTGCTCCATCGGGCTTGTGGCTCTCAGCACCACCCACAATCGTCACTGCTACCAAGTCGACCAATCACAGAGCTCACAGAGTCTAGTTACATTTATTTGTGCACATCAGCGTCGGCGTCAGCGATGGTGAGGGCTATGCAACCGCTGCACGAGGCCATATGGGCGTGCTTGACGAAAGTCTAAATCAGCCTTTAGTTCGTGATTTATCACAGTGTAATGAACCACCAACTACTCTGTCATATGTTTTACATAGCGGATGCCCTAAAGTGCGATATTGTTAAACAGTTTCTCACAGTATGTTTACTCTTCAAATTTTCAGTTTACAGTTTCAACTAAAGCAAAGCTTTCATATTGTGCTGTTTTGAGGTGGTTTCATGAAGGTCCTCTTATAGTATAACGCCTTGTGGGGTCGCTTGACAATGACAAGGGGTTGCTTGGTGATTTTCAAAATTCAAATAAATTTTATTACACTATTTGAATGACCATATTTTATTCAAACCCCACAGAGGATAGTTAATAGTTGCATTAAAGAAAACAACATACAAATAAAAATCAGCCATCAGCCTTTAATTTTTATATTAAAATGTAATTTAATTAATAAATGACTATAAAAAACATTTAAATGGTCAATAGACTGTTGCATTTATGTGTTGACAATATGCTTATGTTTATACATATCCATAGTTGTGTCTTAAACATTTATATATTTACAGTAGAACTACCTTGAAAAATGGGGGTTGCGAGTCACTGACATTGTTATTTTGGGGGTCGCGGGCTGAAAAGTTTAGGAACTCCAGTATAACGTACTCATTTGGCCTATGAGAAAGAAGTCTGGTAATTTCAGACACTAACTGGAGTCATATAAGTTCAGTCTTGTTGGACTTATTGTTGGTGTTGGATGTGAGGTTGTCCATGTCTCATGCATGTTCTGATGGCTGTTGAGCTGTTTTCTCTCCCCTGTAGTGCAGATTCCAGAGTGGTCACAGCTGGGCCTGTCAACCCATAATTCAGTTTGGATGGGAGACTGCTGGAGGGAATGCACACTTGCGGCGAGGGCAGTAATGTCCCCTGGGGTATTAAGGCGGCCATTTAAAAGTGTGTGTGTATTTGAGAGAGCTGGCCAAATCCCTGCTGCTTGTAGTATGATCTGAATGCAAGCACATCTGCAGAGACGTTTTCCCAAATAAGGGCTGGTTCAGATCTTTTCAAGTTCTTTACTGTTCATTAATCTAAGATGGTTGCTGGTTTATTGAAAGTACGTTTGACTCATTGAGTATGTTTACATGGACAACAATATTGCGATTTTAAGATGATTAAGACACTACTATGATTAAGATTTTACCATGCAAACAGCGATTCAGATTTAAGCAGCGATTAAGGTTGTTCTGCCCTCACTCCGGCGTCTCTATCAAAGTTAGACAGACAGATAAACTCTTTCAAACACGTGAGATTGTGGGAGAATGCTGCTTTATTCCATGCCACTTTGAGTATGTTGAAACAGAGTGAAACTATGGCTGTTTCTCAATTCCAAGAACGCAGAGAATGGACTTGCGTTCTTGTAGAGTGCGGTCTTGCCAGGTGTCCTCGGAAGAACGAACTCAGGAGACCGCGAGGGCAGAGAACGCGTCCTTTGAGAAATGGGATTCTGCGTTCTTCTTGATGGTCATGTGACCTTCACGCGTTTTAAATGGAAATTATTTAAACATTACAGCCTTCATACAACGATTTATTGTTTCCCCCCCTCTTCAAAATATATACTTTGCATAAAAACATTATAAATATACTCTGCACAATATAAATACAAATACAAATTTTAATACGAATTTCAGCAAACAAACAACCCTTAATTTGTTTATTCCTTTATTAAGATGTTCATGGTAATGTTTACTTTCACCGTTTCATTTAGGAACGCTCCTGAGCTAAATAAGTAATATCTCTGAACTTTAATAATAAATCTAAATTTAATGCTGCGCTTCCCACCTCCAGTCG